TACAAAATCTATTCTATATATGGAAGTAAAAAAAGTATTCAGTTATATGTATCTTTAATCAAAGAATAAATCTGGGTGATCAAAAAATTTTGGATTTTAAATAAAATAATTTTGTCTTTTATGAAAAACTATTTCAACTTTTTTTCCCAAAATTGTAATTTTAAATTTCCAAAATAATTTTGCGTGCAAGTATAGGTTGAAATGCATGATATAATCAACTGAATAATAAAGACATTTCCTGGATTGTCACCTGAAAACTATATGAAAATTGTCGTATTTGTATGTCAAGTGATAGGTAATTTTTCAGAATGAACATATAGATATTTCTAAAAGATTATTAATAAGATATATATTTCTTTGTATTGCAGGATTATAGATTAACCTTTATATGATGGACATTTGGATATATGGAATATATCAGTTTGGAAAAATAGATAAAGTGTTTTTGCCTGCATCGACACAAGAGTTATCAGCATATGAATCAGTTCATATGATATTGCGTTCTTTAGAGATTTGTTATTTATTTACTTCCTTACTAATATACATATCACCATGCTTATCAAATTAATTTTACAACACTGATTGAGCAATCTTACGAATTATTGCTCATATCTTAAAGTTTTACATGCAAGATTGAGACGAAAACGTAACTACTCATATCAAGAAGACATTTTTTTATTTACAAACAATACTCTGAACATGTCCCCTCAAAAAAAATTGAGATCAGAAACTAACAAATGATGATTTTTATAATCATAGATCATTATTATTCATATCATAATATTAGCCAGCAAGAGTGTGAGTACAAATAGTTTAGAGAATGAAAACTTATAATGTAGACAATAGTATAGATTTTTTTACAATTAATAAAAACGTATTACTGCAATTTACAAATATTTTTAATGTAATAAACTTTTGAATATAACCATGTTTTATGTAAAACGATATCAAACGATCAACTAACAATCGATACCTTAAAAGAATTAAATTCTAGGCTTGCATCCGAGATTACTGAACTTAGAAAGGAGAATGCTGAAATTCCTAAACTTAGAAAAAAATTTTTCGAAGTTGAGGCCGAGAACATCGAACTTAAAGCTGAGAACATAAAATTTAAGCAAGCTTTGAAAGAACATAAATCCAGATTTATGAAACTGAAGTAGAATGATAAAGATACTGCTGTTGAAAATGCTGAGCTTAAAGCTAGAGTTGCGAAATTAGAACAGAAGCAATTGTAAACTGATGAAAAGAACAACTTTATTGTTAAATTAGATAATGATACCAAGGGAATCGATCAATCTTCAGTTAATGCCACATCTACTGACATGGAAAATTCTAATGATACTCATGAACAGATAGACTTACGATGTGATGATATTCTTGCATCTGATATATCTAACAATGTTTCAAATTTTGATGAACTCAATAATGCTCCAAATTCTGATGTATATAATGTTTTTTTAGAATTATTTGAAAATGTATGTCAGAAGACAAAGACTCAATACTCCACATCACCAATTTGCATAGAAAGTAAATCTTTTGATGATAAAGAGATCGAATTTCTGAATCGAATATACAAAGAATAGGAAAATACTAATAATAGCTTTATTTTCTCATTGAAAAATGGTAATATACAAAATTCAATTCTTAGCAGAGTTAAAATCATAAGTATGCAATTGATAATTTTCGTGAAATTTTTCAAAGAGACACATGGTCCATATTTTGGGTATGATCTTTATATACACAATCCTAGTTTTAATTTTACTTTAGATAATGGCAGTGTGTATAATTATGGTCATTATGAAAAACTTATAAGGACTGCAACAGATTGTTGATTATGAAACATTTAAGGTTATTATGAAAACTAGTAACTAGTTTTTGGTCATAAATTTTTGATCTCAGATAATAATTAATGACATTTGTTTTAATTTTATATTTTATATTTATTTTATATTTATTAATTATATTAAATATATTTTATTAATATTTATCTAGACGATATAATTTTGTGGGATATTTTTTATATTAATTGATTGAATTACAATATAAACAATACAAATAAATTAACAATGTAGATGATACAAAAAAAAAATATAATTAATCTTAAATGTAACTTCTGCATTTATACATGTTTTTATATTCAATATTATTGGGAGCATACCGCAAGATTATAATACTTTTTGAACCCTTCTAAATTTATTGTGCTGTGTAAATTAGGAATTGAGCCCTGGATATTTAATAACTTCTAAAGTTTAAAAACTAATTCCATTTTTATAACAACTTTTATTAAAAATGCATCCTAAAATTATTGAACTATTTTTGACTATTGGTATTCCTTAGTCTACTCTGCTTTGGTTGGACCTTTGTCACTACTCTTCTCTATTATTTTTAATACTACTTTTTGATATTATTATTTTATTTATTAATCTCAGTATCATTTCTATTAATGATTTTAATAATCATTGTGACAGATAAAAAATTTGTATATTTATTTATATTTTTTTAAAAATTATTGTTTTAATTTAAAATATCTTTTAGGAGAGGCTTTAATTCATATATTTTTTTTATAATTCTTTCAGCATTCATTTCTTTTATGTTATTCTTAATAAACTAGAATGGCAAATTCAGATTAATAACCACCATCACCATTTTAATACAATAAAAATATTATGTGATTCTATTCATTTTTAAATATTTTTTTCAAAAATAAAATAATTAAT